TAATAACAAATTAGAAGGAAAAAAAGATGACATAAAATACAGATTTCAGTATTCTGAGGCTCTGAGCCATTTCTTTTCCTCACTGACGGCAAAAAAACTCCTACATTATACAATTTAAAATAAAAGGGATAGGGTTAGGCTTAGGGTAAGATATTGAGTAAGAACATGTTTTTATGAACCACACAGCTTCCGGTCTTCCAAGACCCGACCGGACAAAAAGACGTGTTGCAGGCACGAAACATACTACCAATAGAAATACATTGCATTTAAAATCGTGTTGGTGAACACGAATCAATAGATTAAATTAATTTCGTGACTAATAACACAAAATGCCGTGAGACTGGGTTGAATATGGCGGCAGGAGGCTCGTTTTTCTTCTTTTTTGTTACCGCATGCATGTCTGTGCATGTTTTATTAGCTTGGAGGCATAGAGGATTTACGTTAATTTTATCCACTAACGTTTTAACATAACCTTGCGTTCTGAATCATTGCGTTCAAATTGCGAACGTAAATCCTCTATGCCTCCAAGTTAATAAAACATGCCCAGACATGCAGTAAAAAAAAAGAAGAAAGAAAATGCGCCGCCTGCCGCCATTTTAGGTTCGAATTTTCCAGAGAACTTTTGCAACACAAACGTTCCACTTTGAGATATAACTTAAAACAATATAGAAATACTGTCTTACACGTAAGTTAAATCATTTTTCAAGTGAGGCAGATATTAAATGTAGGCTAGCTAACAAGAGCTCAAATCAAACTAACACACCGACACAAAGTGCATTAGATGCAGAAATTAATAAAACATCATTTAAATACTGTGCAAAGGCAAGACGTAACTCACCTGAGTAGTGCGGCCAAAAAAAGGATCAAGATTCCGGCAGTGAGTGCAATCAGCAAGGTGGGGAAAGTATTCTTAAAAGCGATTTCAACCGAGGCGAGGAGCTAATGGCGGACTCTGGTGAAGGCATGGGTGAGAGAACGTCTAGGCACGTCGGGGGCGGAGCACATACGTGATGACGTCAGACAGATTCAGTAAAAATGTTTGAGTACAATCACCAATATGACCCAAAGTGGTTGAACACTGTATACACAATATTAAAAATCAGTTCAGCCTAGTCGTTAGCTTTCCCTCTAGCCTTTTACTTTTGGAGTAGCTATTGGTCCTTACCCTGCTGTGTGAAGAGGACAGGTTATCCAGCTCATCAGAAAGAGATCTCCGGTTCTGTGTCAGTGGAGCGTATCTGTTCTGGATTGGCACACTTGGTGGTTTAGGAGGATTGTTTGTAGTTCTCCCTTTAGCAGCTGTCCACGGCTGCTTCCTAGTATGAATAGTAGGGATGATCACCTTTTTTTGCATTTTCATTTCCAACACTGCCATCTTCTGTAGAAGTTTGTGGAAGTCATCTGTAGAGAGCGGAGGCATTTTGCTGCTAACTAGCTAAATAGCATGCAGTACCAGGCTTTAGCTGTTGTTAGGCCACGCTACTGTAGGAGTGAGGTCGTCGTAAAAATATTGAAATATGGCTGAAACCCTTCATCTATTTACGAAGAATAACTGTCCCAGTGATAAGTTAATGTCCAGGAGCCGCTGCTCGAAGTTATCAGAAAAGAAAAATAGGAAAATCAGCATCAAAAAGTAAGCAGAGGCAAGAGCAAGCAGAAAAACGTCTGCACTGTAAGAAGCAGGAAGCAGTGAATCTCCAACGAACGGATATTCGGGTACAGCCCTAGTGTGATCCCAAACATACTGTTGGAACCAAGGTAACACAGTCTCCAGGCGAAATTGCTTCATGTCCCCGAGCACTATTGCCGGTGCATCGGGGCGGCTGAGTTGCAGCTCGTGAACACGGTCAGCAATGGAGCCGGCCGCCATTGACGCTCTGTCGCTGGGAGGCACGTAGACAACAAACAGTAAAATACACCCGAATTCTCTAGGCAGATTAGAGGATGAAAGGGTCTTAACGTCATGCCAAGAATTTCTACGTTGGGATTGCAGGTTTTACATCTTACTGAGTATGATCGGCACCACAGATCATTAATATACACACAAATAACGCCTCCTCTGGTTTTCCCCGAGTTTGCATCGCTGTCTGCTCGAACAAGGGTGAATCCGGGTACCTCAAAGAGAGATTCAGGCATTGTAGATTGTAGCCAACTTTACGTGAAACATAATAAAAAGGCCTCACGAAATTCATGACAGTACCTTGTGTATGTCCTTAGTGTGTCCACTTTGTGTCCCTCCCCTCCTTCCTCGTCTCTTTTTCCTGGTGTTTCTAAGCGGCTCCCGAGGGATGTCATCCAATATTGAAGAGCACAGATGGCTTGGTGTATTCGTATGAGGCCGATCGCATTGTAGCTCCAGCATAGCCTCACCGCTGTACAGGGGCGGACTGGGACTACAAATCAGCCCGGGACTCTCGACCGGCCCACTTTGGTACCGCCGGCCCACCTCGGTAAATTATTAACGGGGGGGGGGGGTGCTAGTGAGTTATCCGAGCGGCCCACCTCGGTGCCGCAAGTAAATACCGCGAGGACATTGTCGGCGGGGGCGGGGGTGGTAGTGACTTCTCCGACCGGCCCACTTCAGTACCGGCCCATCGGGATTCGTCCCGGATGGCCAGTCCGCCCCTGCCGCTGTAGCAGCGTAGAGGCCGGGGCTCCTCGCACTAACCTGTTTGTGCTGTCACTCAGTTGTGTCTTGGAAAGTTGTATGGCTAGACATGGTCTGTAGAAGGCAAATGTAATCCACAGGATCAAACGCATGGTCTCTCAAATTTACGTTTCATACAGACACAACAACGTTTAGACAATAATTACACCAAACAAACAAAAACAAAACACAAGAGGAACGGAGCATACTGAGACGCGCAGTGACAGGATGCCGTTTCCCTCTGTCTCCTATATATACCAGAGGTGGGAGTAAGTCATACATGTGCAAGTCTCAAGTTACTGGGGTGAGAGTCAAGCAAGTCAAGTCATACCAAATCCTGATGAATAACCCCAGTTTCCACATTTATATCAGTTAGAAGACATCGGTTATGAAGAGTAGAGTTTTATTTTCAACTTTAGCAACAATGGAGAGTGGGGCTCTGAAATCATAAAACAGGTAATATGGGGAAGAATCAGGCAGTTCAATGTGTGTGTGTGTAGAGGTGTGTGTTGTTAAAACGTAGCAGACTGCGGTTGCTCTTTAGCTGTTCTAATGAAGGTAAACACAGTGAAGTAAACAGTAAAAGGCACAGCTCTTTGCAGCTGGTGCTGCTCTTCTCAGATTCTGCTGAGTTACACGTTACTGTCTCCTGGTGCTGCAGAGATTTCATGAAGTGAAGGATGTTTTCCTTCTATAAAACAGCTGTGGGCAGCAGATACTGTGAGAGTCACGGACATTAATTCATAGATCAAGGCAGACTGGTTCACAGACTCTCCTGTTTTGCCGATCCGGTGCTTAAACAAATAGCTCTCCTGGCCGAAATGTCCCTAAAATGAAGTCCGACTTCGAAATATATCTCAAATAATGTATGCACTGCCATTTCCCCACATAAACATAACAGTCTGCAATGAAACGTCTGTCTCCTGTGCGCTCCACTTCCTACTTGGCACACCGGTAACTTTCTCCTGCGAACGAGTTACTGTCTCTCACTCCTTTCTTTCATTGCCCTTTAGGGGCTTCGTACAATTCAAATGCAAATACTTTATTTTAGAAAGTAAAGTCCTTTCGAGTCATCTGTCTCAAGCCTAAGTCAATTCTCAAGTCATGAATACCAAGTCAAAGTCAAGTCGAGGATTTGATCAATGTTAGTCAAGCAAGTCTCAAGTCCAAAAATATGCGACTTGTTGGAGCAGAACGCCTATTGTGGTGGCTGATAGCCACCCCCTCTGCTACGCGCCGTTCGTTGGATGAGGCTGAAATCTCTATTAAATAAAGAAAGGAATTGAAAACACCGGAATCAAAAGTTATAACAATTATCTGAGTTTACTTCTGGTAGGAAACCAAACACATATACAAGTTATACAGAGTACTCCGGACTTCAGGTTTGTGATGCGATGCGGATAAAGGTGTCGGGACCCGCCAACTCATCAAACAAGAAGAAAGTGACTTCAGGTTTGTGATGCGATGCGGACACAGATATCGGGACCTGCCAACTCACCAAACAAGAAAGCATTTTACATTAAAAAACAACAGTATTCATAATCATATTTTGGGGCGGAGATGTTTTGACTTTTCCCTTCCCCTTTTACTCCAAAGCGAATGAGAGAGTCCGTGAGGAGGAGCTGTATGAGCTGCTCACATCCCCCAAGTGTTTTTACTGGTTGGATTCACTCCTGGTCGGGTTCAATACAGCGAATCAGAGTTCTGACCAGAACGTGAGATTCTAAAGTTTTACAAGGTCAAAGTCCATCTTATCTCTGCACCGGTATTCACTCCCTTACTTTCCCATGGGAGTTTTTCACATCAATTATTCTTTCTCATACAATTAAACCTTTGTGCACAAATATGATGATGTCCATAAGGACCTTGAGAAGAACATCTGTGTGTGGGGGTGAAAAGGAGCGGTGTGTGTGTGAAACAGGATCTCTGGGTCAGTGAGTTGAAAGTGAGAATATCATTTCTATATATGTGATTACCTAAAACAGTTGTGATTACTTAAAACAGTTCAAACAATACATGTTCACTAAAATACAATTCAAAATAATACATGTTTACTTCAATACAGTGTAGAATCATATCTTTTTACTTCAGACTCGAGTCAAGTCATGCGACTCGAGTCAAGTCATGTGACTCGAGTCAAGTCATGTGACTCGAATCCCCCACCTCTGGTATTTACTGTGGTTAGAATGTTGCTGTATTACTGTATCTAATATAATACAAATATAATAAACACAAACAGTTAGTAAAAGTAGTATTCCGTTAAGTCAACGTTTATATTAAGAGAGTTTTTATTGTGTTAACTGTATATGTTTTTATGCTTTTTAGATTTACTTTCTCTCTCCGTCTGTTCTAGAAACCGAAAGGAAGAGAGAGACGTCACAGCTGTCAGCAATGTGACAAATCCTTTACAACATCTAGACATTTAAAGCGCCACCTGCATATTCACACAGGAGATAAACCGTACAGCTGTGAAGAATGTGGGACAACTTTCACTACATCAAGTGTTCTCAAAAGACATCAACGTATTCACACTGGAGAAAAACCGTACAGCTGTGAAGAATGTGGGCAAACTTTCACTCAATCTAGTGATCTCAAATCACATCAACGTATTCACACTGGACAAAAACCGTACAGCTGTGAAGAATGTGGGCAAACTTTCACTCAATCAGGTGCCCTCAAATCACATCAACGTATTCACACAGGAGATAAACCGTACAGCTGTGAAGAGTGTGGGAAAACGTTCACTACATCAAGTGATCTCAAAAATCATCATCGTATTCATACTGGAGAAAAACCATACTGGTGTGAAGACTGTGGGAAAACGTTCACTACATCAAGTGATCTCAAAAATCATCATCGTATTCATACTGGAGAAAAACCGTACTGGTGTGAAGAGTGTGGGAAAACGTTCATTACATCAAGTGGTCTCAAAAAACATCATCGTATTCATACTGGAGAAAAACCGTACTGGTGTGAAGACTGTGGGAAAACGTTCACTACATCAAGTGATCTCAAAATTCATCATCGTATTCATACTGGAGAAAAACCGTACTGGTGTGAAGAGTGTGGGAAAACGTTCACTACATCAAGTCATCTCAAAAGACATCAACGTGTTCACACGAGAGAAAAACCATAGTGGTTTTAAGAGTGTGGCAACACGTTTTCTCAAAGTATTCACCTTAATGTCCACGAGCGAATCCATTCTGCATAGTTTTGAACAACTATGAGAGCCAAGCTAGCTGTTTCCTCCTCCCGATGTCCTGAGAGATGTCGTTATAATTTAAGAGTCTTTCTGAATTGAAGTCTGACTAATAGACTTCAATTCACAGTCAGTCTCGTTTTATGTCCCTGGACAAGGCCTGAGGTCCTCCTCAGCTTTTTTAATATCCCTAAAATCCCCCTAAATAAAATGGGTGAGGCTTTTCTCCACTACGCTCCCGAACTGTGGAACACCAGGAAATATCAGAGAGGCTCAGTGGACATTTTTAAATGCCAGTTAAAGAAACATCTCTTTAGATTAGATTTTTATTAGCAACCCCCCACTTTAAATGGTGTTTTAGTCTTTATTATTTACCTACTTTTATATTGTTTTATTTATGATATAGGAAGGGTTTTATCTTATATTAGTTATTTAACAGTTTCAATAGCAACATTTATTTTTACGTTGGTTTCTTTATATTTTAATCGTTTAACCTTTATTAGAATTATGATGTTTTTATTTCTGTTGTACCTATATGTTCACTTTACTTTATAGGGTTTTATATTGTTGAATCTATTCACCTGTCTTGTGTCTTATCTTTCCGAGATAAATCATATTTTTTTTTACTGTATTTCATTTGTTATTGTCATACCTTTTACCTCCTTGTGTATCTTAACCTGTTACAATGTTATATTTTGCTGCATGTATCTGTAAAGGTCTTAACATCTGAGGGGACTTTCTTGTTGTTTATTTTTAACTTGTGATGTGTCGCCATTTTGTAAAGCACTTTGAGCTGCACGTGCTGTATGAAAAGTGCTGTATGAAAAGTGCTGTATAAATAAAGCTTTATTATTACAACAGTTTTTTATGTTCTAACCAGCGTTCACACTATGCCAACACAAGGCCACAGAGATGCTGTTTCTCCAATTTAATTAATGTTTGTAATGGTTTCTGAACTATGAAGAAATGTTTTACTATGCTGTGTTTCAACCATGGTTTTCTAATAGCCTTGTTATTCCTTTTTTTAAATATTATATCTCAACTGCTAGCCTCGTTAAGCTGCATTGAAGGAATTTAGTTTCACTGTTCATTAATCTGCCGAGTAGTTTCTCCAATAATCTGTTTGGTTAATAAAATGTTGTGACTTTAAACTTCTATTGTGATGTTTTTGATAGTTCCTGTTGAGTTAGCAGTCTGTTCTGGGTTGCAGTCGAATTGTCCAAAAATCAGCTCCTGTCGTCTTTTCCTATCCACTATTACCGGGGTTAATGCCTTTACTTATGTTTACCGATCAGCAACGTGGTATAAAAAGTAGTGCTGGGGGGAAACGATTATTTTGAAAACGATTAATCGGGCGATTATTTTATCGATTAGTCGACTAATCTAACGATTATTTTTCTGTTGTTCGATTAATAAAAAACATAATGTATCTCAAATAAATACCAAAATATTCTTAATAATATAGTTTTTTTTTTATTGCACAGCAAAATAAGAAATATAGAATAAAATTATACAAAATAAAAAGGCCAGCCTGTTTACTCTTACAGTCCAACAAAAAATCTCTTCTGTACAAAATTACAAAAGATAAAAAATGTAGTGCAAAAACAAACACTGCCTTCTGTGGAGTGCATTTCGCCTCTTTCCCAAGATAGGACGGCAAGGTTCTTTGCTTTGTCCTAGAAAACACAACAGCAATGAACAATGGAACAACAGCTATGACAGTGGGGCATATTAAATCTACTCTTAAACTCATTGCAGTGCTATGGTATAATTAGCTTACTTGAAGGCTAACGTGGTTACTTTTTAAACAATGTTAAGTCCAACAATGCATTTCATGTTTATCTAAAAGCTTGTAGAGTACTATATCTACACAGTGAAAATGTTTGGTAGTGCAACTCATATGAGCCCTATCACACTTGGATGTGCTGGTGCTCATTTTAATGTTTTCAATGCTCATAAAAACATTAATTCATTCATGACAACTGCGCACCAGCTTACGTGCAGCCCTGGCCTGGACATTGCTTGGCTCCGTTAGTTGACATACATTGATACTATAAGCTGACTAACGTCAGTCTAATGTTATGTTTGACTCGTAATTGACCACAACATGAGTTAGCTCTCTGTGCAGTGTGTTCGTTCCGGGTTAGTAGCGGCTAGATAGCGGTGTTCTGCAGACGTAAACTAGCTACCATTCCAGCCAACATTAAATGCTGACAAACGTTAACTAATGGCGCGTTTCCATTACAGCGCGCAGCCCGGTTTAAGAGGGCTGTGACGTCAGCGGCCCGTTTGTGGTTGCGTTTCAACTTGGCCTAGTACCGGCCGGCGGGTCCTAATTCTCAGTTTTTCTGGCCTCATAAAATCGTGGGGCCAGGGCCAAGGCAACCGGGCTGAGTTTGTGACGTCAACGCTCTCGGCTGCTGATTGGTCGGAGAGAATCGTCACAATCTGCGTGCGAGATAATCCATTTTTACAAACAGCATTTTTGTTAACAGAGGAGCTACAACATTGCAAAGAAAAGCACACCATGGTCGGTCGAGGAAGTGACGACGTTCATTATATTGCAGATGATAAGGTCCAGCGGGTGCTCGACGGGACAACTCGCAATATCAAAGTCTTTCAGGAGGTCTCTACACAGACACTGGACTCTCCAACGGCGTTACTGGAGTCTGCATGGTACGTTTTTGCTAACGCTCTGTTATAAAGCTTTGTGTCCCTATCTGTTCTGAAGCTCACTTCTAACAAATAAGTCTATTTTATCCTTACATTTATGTTCGACAACCCATGCTTTTATGGAGCCCCGAAGGCTAGCTAGGCAGATAGCATTAGCGAGAGCTAATGTTTGCTAACACCATATGTGCCATTGTTTATGTTCAGTTTGTCTTTTCTATAGTTGTTGTTGCTATTTATAGTATTGTGCTGCAGTAGTTTGTGGAATTTACAAGTCATGTTTCTGTTCTAGATGATTACATTGGGACTAGCGAGGAGGAACAGTTCCGAACAACGTCCTCTGCATCAACAGCACAAACCGAGGAGGAGACGATCTGGCCCTGCAGGAACGGCAACTGGCCCAGCAGAATCAATGCCATGTCTTATCTTATTGCTTGTTGATAAATAATTGCACCCACCAGCGATCGCACAGAAAGATGGCATCATCTAGGCGTCCCTCTGCATTCAGAAATATCATAAACACCATCGTCCACAAAGCACTGTACAGGGGTTTATGGATTTAAGAGAATACTTATCACAGTGAAACCTTTATCATCTGTTGCAATTAAAGCAAATAAGAGAATAAATACTTGGTTAAATAATACATTTGAACTCTTTAGCAGGACAACTCTGCATACTGTTTGAAATTGAGTTTGCTAGCTTGAGGTCCTCCTCTAAAACATAACATTACATATTTTGTAATGGTATTAAGAATACATGATAAATACATGTAGTAAAAATTACTCAATTGTAATACCCTCGTTGTGCTAGACTCAAACACATTGCTTATATATTTCAAAGAGAAGAGAACAAAAGAAAACACCTATACAAAGAGAGCGGTGCACAGCGCTTAATATTTACTTGCACTATATTTCTGTTGATCTGGGTTATTGTGTTGCACTGTTGGAGGAGCCTGTGACCTAAGATGTTCATTGTCATAACTACACTAGCTATGTTCGTATGACAAAATAAAAAACCTTGAACCTTGAGGCTGTGTCTTTCAGACAAACCATCATAATCATATTATTTTATGCTGTGGATACTTTAGCCTCCATCCATGTTAACAATTTTTTACACTTGCATTTATGAATATAGTTCTGTTGTGTTTTACACTTTTGTATTTATGTTTATAGTTTGCTTTGATATTTGCTTAATTTATTAGATTATTATTATTATGGGGGCAGTACTGGTGCTTGAAATTCAAATATTTACTAAATAGTCAATTCTGATAACATTTTTTTGGTTTAAATAATTTGACAAACACATGTATGTGAAAAAGAAAAGATGTATTTATGTTCAATACAATACAATGAATATTTAGGTATTACATTATACATTCTAGGTATTCAGGTAGCGCATCAGACCCTCTCGTATGTCCCTGCCCTCCTCTGCACCTTGTGCCACTGCTACCCCTGGTAGACGTAGGTTTTCCTCAGGCATCCTGAAGTTCTCCACCCACTGAGTGTGTGTGAAAGATGGAACAATCACATTCCACCACTCGGTAGCTCGGTCGGTAACTTCTGAAATACACAAACAAAAGCATACATATTTTAATACGTAAAAGTGGTAGCTACAATTAATTAAATACTTGAAATACTTTGGTCGTATAGGGAGCGTGAGCCTAAACACATTGCTAGTTAGCGAACGTTAGCTTACCAAGTAGCATTGTAGTTAGTGATTCGAGTCGTCCTGTAGTCTCTGCGGCGTAGGAGGACTGCCCGAACTCTCGCGTCAGCTTCTTCTATACCTCGTCTTGCTATACGTCGCCTCTTTCGAAACAACTCTTGTCTATTTCTTGTGATAATAAACCACACAGCAAAAAACAAGCAAACGATCGCTTTCACATCTCCACAGCCTCCATTGTTGTGTCGCATTGAAGATGACGTCACGGCAGTTTTAAGCAGCGTCGCTCCGCCTACACTGCGTTACTATAGATACTACCCCAGTTCCTAAACTGTAATGGAAACGCGCCATAAAGTGAGCTGGTCCTAACGAGGCCAATCGCGGCCCAGCCATACCGAGCGGGGCCGAGCGAGGCCGTGTAGTGGAAACGCGCCATAACACACAGCTGGCGCCGCTAGCTAGGTAGCTAACATTAACTACTAATCAACCAAGCACGAACAAACCGCACAGAGAGCTATAAGATAGTTAGCACTACCGAAGTGCACAGAACTCAAGCTGCACAACACACTACACAAACGTGGAATTAATTAAGCCAAAGTTAGTACTTATTTATCATTGTTCCCTCCACGAGAGACAAGGGGGTGCCTCCGCTTTAAATGCTCCAACATCGCTGTTGTGCTAGGGTGGTATGCCAACTCCATTTGGCAAAGACTGCAAATAACAATGCCTTTGCGTTTTGGACTACATTTAAAGTATTCCCATGCTTTTGAAGACCTAGGGCGAGATGTTTTTGTTTGGGGGCTTTTTGCAGGGCTTCGTGCGCAATCCTGTGAGGAGGAGGTGGTAGCCGTTTCAGTCTCCATAGTGTTTAAAGTGCGATTGCGAACTGCTTGTTGTTTTGGGTGACCCACGTGTGTGTGGCGATGCGTCGACAATATTTTGAAGTCGACGCGTTGAGCTACAGCACTAATAAAAAGCTACGAACAAAGAACGGGAGGCAACGAATAAAAGCACGGATAAATCACCCTCCAAGGATAAACGAACTCTTTGTATGTGTTTTAAAAGTCTCTTAAACACATTACATTCGGTATAAAATCTGCATCAACGTTTCTTAGCAACATGTAGCTTCTGAGAACCGGAAGCTAGAAACGGACCGCCGCAATGCATCATGGGATTTTAGTTTTTCATTTAAACATAATTTCACTGCCCCCTGTGGTGAAAAAACTAACGGTTTTAAAATAATGAATAATTACATTATTATTAATATTAATAATACTTATAACAATAATAATATATAAACATGGGACTGGTATGAAAGATTTTAAACATTGGGAAAAATGTTTTAGTTTGTAATGAAAGGCATAAAACACATCCAGTAAAAGATAGGATAAAAGACCAATGAGAAACAGCTACAAACTCACCTCCTCCTCCGACACCCCAAAAGCCTGTCGGAAAAGGTGAGTCTTTAGCTGCCCCTTAAAAACCTCCACAGAGACAGAGGCTCTCAGTTTCTGGGGGAGTTCATTCCATAGGGGCCACCGCCTCAAAGGCACGGTCCCCCTTAGTTTTTTTAGCCTGGTTCGGGGACCCTTAAGAGTCCTTGCTCGGAGGACCTCAGGGCCCGGGTTGTCCTGTGAGGGTGGACAAGGTCGTTAATGTAGGCGGGGGCTTGGCCATGGACAGCTCTATATGTGTAAACCAATACCTTACATTGGGTTCTGAGATGGACAGGGAGCCAGTGCAGGGCAGAAAGGATCGGAGTGATGTGGCAGGTTTTTTTTGGACCGAGTGAGTAACCTGGCTACAGCATTTTGGACCT